AGCCCGTCATCCCCAAACTTCTTGCTGTCTACTGCAGACCATTCATCACAAGAGCTGACGTCACACAGCTCTTCCTGCCAGGTACCATGTTGCACTGAATTGCATTCTCTATGGTGCACATGGCTTAGCATTTGGGGAACCTGATCCTTTCCATGTTTTTCTTCTGGGTTCAAATAAGCTAGTGTTGCAATCTTTGTAAGTTGGTAAAAGTACCCCTGTGGGAAGGGTGCAGTCCCTTCTATTGATGTGCATGCTGTTCCTAAGTTTGTGGCCGTAGCTGGTGTTTGCATAACCTCATGGGAAGAGCAAACATCATTGTGGTCATGCTCCCTCCGGTGACTTCCAGTGTATTTATGCCTAAGCAAAACCAGTCAGGCAGCACCCCTATTCTAGGTGGCTCATTTGACCTTGGTGTTCTCTTAGAGGAGCAGAGCCACTTAGTGTTCCTAGCTGGGGAGTCCGGAACAGAGAGGTGATAGTCTCACCCCCCTGAAAGGCCCTCCCCATCCACTCTTAGAGAAGAGGCCTCAGTACAAACTTGTTTGGGGACCCTTTGTCTCAAATTCTTTGCAACAATGAAACACAGCAGATTAGGTTCTGAAGTTGGCATTTAGGAAGGAAAGGGCATACAGCTGAAATCACTCTTGGAGATCCTTTGTGTCCACCCCCCGGCAGAGAATCATCTGTACCAAGGACAGTGGTGAGACCTGTGTAAGGCTTGAAGGAGGAGGTGCTCTTGCTGAGGGATGTGTGCACAGCAGAAACAGACTTGACGAATGGCACATCCCATCTCCTAATTAGGGCAGTATCACCTGTGCTGCTTAATATACTTCTGTCCCTTACTCCCCCATATCAAACAGTTGATTTACAAACTGGCATCTTCAGATGTCTGTTGCACGGTATGAAGAGTACGATGCAGTTCACAAATGTAATTCAAAAGTTGCCCATTGGTAAGATGTAGAGCAAAGTCGTATTTGTGTCTGTTTCCATCTGTTATGAGGTTAGATGTCCTATTGGCACAACTGCACGTTTGCAGTCAAGAGGGAGTAGGGGTGGAGCCAGGCCCAGGCCAACGCCTTCCCCACAGGGACTCAGCTGTTGGCCTTCAGTCTGCTCTTCCACATTAAAGCCTCCTTTACGTAGGTGGTTGAGCAGGATGCTCCCGCAGGGTGTGTAGCCTGCCAGGAACAGTTTTCATTTCAGCCCTGACACCTAAGTAGAGACAGATGGTGGTGAGGTGGCCCCCATATGTGGCTGGGACCTCTCCCATTATCTCTTTTCCATGGCTTGTAGTCGTGGCTTAAGGTCCCTCCATTTGTTCAGGTCTCTACTCTGCAGAGGTTCTTCATTGCACAAGGTCTCACTAGGAAACGGGCACACCCAAAATGACCAAATTCAAGGAGGATTTATTATAAGGGTGTAGGTAAAGGGGCAAGCCTTCCTCAGTATTTTTGTGGCTCAAGGCAAGAATACAAGTATGACCCTTCTGCAGGCCCTCTTCTCTGTCCCCCCCCAATCTTAGTTTACATATTGATTACATGTCAAAATAATATTTTTGGATATCTTGAATATAAAAATTTTACCTGGGATCCCTGGGTGGCGCAGGGGTTTGGCGCCTGCCTTTGGCCCAGAGCGCAATCCTGGAGACCCGGGATCGAATCCCACGTTGGGCTCCCGGTGCATGGAGCCTGCTTCTCCCTCTGCCTATGTCTCTGCCTCTCTCTCTCTGTGACTATCATAAATAAAAAATTAAAAAAAAATTACCTATTTTTACTTTTTAAAAAAATTTATTCATGAGAGACACAGGGCAGAGACATAGGCAGAAGGTGAAGCAGGCTCACCCACAGGAAGCCTAACGTGACTTGATCACAGGACCCCAGGATCATGACCTGAGCCGAAGGCAGACACTCAACCTCTGAGCCACCCAGGCATCACCTATTTTTAATGAGACTAACAAAATTTAGTCAAATGTGCAGATTGCAATTCTATTATTTCCACTGGACAGTGCTGTCTCTGATTCAGTGGTGCCCAAGATCCTTTTTTTTAAAGATTTTATTTATTTATTCATGAGAGACAGACACACACAGGCAGGGGGAGAAGCAGGCTCCATGCAGGGAGCCAGATGTGGGACTGGATCCCGGGACTCCAGGATCACGCCCTGGGCCGGAGGCAGGCGCCAAACCGCTGAGCCACCCAGGGATTCCTCCCACCCCGCTTTTTTTTTTTTTTAACAGACTTTTATAATCCCATCTTTTAAAAAAATTTAATTACTGGAGTATAGTTGACAATGTTCTATTAGTTTCAGGTGTGCAACATAGGGATTCAGCAATTCTGTACATTACTCAGTATTCACCACAGGTAAGTATAGTTACCATTTGTCACAATGTGTCATAGTATTATCCCTATGCTGTACTATTTCTGTGACTTAATTTTCTAAGTAAGCTCTATACCCAATATGGGGCTTGAATTCAGGACCCCATGTGAGTCATATGCTTTACTGTGTCAGCAAGCCAGGTACCCCGTGGATTTTGAACTGGGAATACCTCTTAATCACCTTCACCTGTCTTACCCATCTCCCCTACCCCTGTCAACCATCAGTTCCCTGTATTTATGAATGGCCATTTTTTTCACATTCCACATATAAGCAAAATAATGGTATTTGTCTTTCTCTGAATTATTTCACTTAACATAATACCCTCTAGGTCCATCCATATTGTCACAAAAGGCAAAATGATCTTTTTTATGGCCGAGTAACAGTCCATCGTGTGTGTATATATATACACACACACATACCCACATACCGTATCTTCTTTATTCATCTATCGATGGACATTTGGGTTGCTTCTGTATGTTGGCTATGGTAAATAACACTGCCATAAATATAGGGTGCATATATCTTTTTAAATTAGTGGGTTTTTTTTTCCCCCTTGGGTACTCAGTAGCAGAATTACTGGATCATAGGGTATTTCTAATTTTACCTTTTGAGGAATCTCCATACTGTTTTCCACAGTGGTTGTACCAATTTACATTCCTGTTTGAAACAGTGCTTGAGAGTTCCCTTTTCTCCACACCAGCACTTGATTTCTTATCTTTTTGATGACTGATGTCTCACTGTGGTTTTGATTTGCATTTCCTGGAGATTAGTCACGTTGAGCATTTTTTCATGTGTCTATGGTCATTTGTCTTAAGATTTTAAGTAATCTCTACACCCAGTGTGGGAAACTCATAACCCCGAGATCAAGAGTTTGCATGCTCCACTGACTGAGCCAGCCAGGCACCCTTCTATTTTCTTTAGAAAAATGTCTCTTCAGGTTAAGACCTGGATTGGGGTTTTTTTGGTGAGTTGTGTATATAAACACACACATATGATCTTAACCCCTTATTGGATATATCATTTGTAAATATAATCTCCAGAAAGTTGCCTTTATGTTTGTTAGTGGTTCCCTTTGCTATGCAAAAGCAATTATTTTGGTGTAGTAACAAAATTCCATACCGTGTATGTGTTCTTTTAGGAAGTTTTATGGTTTCAAGTCTTACATTTAGGTCTTGACTCCATTTTGAGTTTGTGTGTACATAAGAAAGTGGTCTAGTTTCAGTAGCTATTCAGTTTTCCCATTTAGACAGTCTTTTCTCCATTGTATATTCCTGCCTCCTTTGTAACGTAAATTGACCATGTAAGTGTGGGTCTATTTCTGGGCTCTCCATTCCGTTCCATTGATCTATTTGTCTTATGTGCCAGTACCATACTGTTTGATCACTACAGCATTGTAGCATATCTTGAAATCTGGATTTATGATACCTCCAGCTTTGTTCTTCGTTCTCAAGACTGCTTTGGCTTTTTGGGGTCTTTCATGATCCATACAAATTTTAGGATTATTTGTTCTTTTTTCACCAGATCCTTGGATTGTGCACTGGTGGTGGCTTTCTCTCATTGAGCATTTCGTAGCTGAAGTTTGGATGATTTACTGAAAGCCCATGACCTTTTGTTGGCATTCTTTTTGATGACCACCCAACCACTAAGGCAGTTATCCTTAGTGCTTCCCATCTGCTTCACCCTGATTCCTGCATCAGCCATGATGTAACTCAGGGGCTGGGAATCTGAGTATGCACTAGACAGGAGCATGCTTTTACCTAGGGAGGTTGAAGAGCACTGAAACACATGTTCTATTTGGGAAACTTTCCCTTTCCTTGCCGGTTTTCCTCCTGCTGCTGGGTGGCTTTCTGCAGCCAATGGTTTTCCTGTAATCACTCTTGGTATCCTCATCAACCTGCAAGTGACCCTCTCTATAATCTAACCTGAAAGGGGACTGGGGGCAGGGGGCGTGGTTGTGTGTGTGTGATTCTCCAAAATCACTTGGTTTTCCTCTCAATAGATCCACTCTAACTCTGATACTTCACTTTCTTTCTTGTCCTGAAGAGAGTCTGGGCAGGTTCCAAATGGGCAACCTCGAGGTCCCCATCCCTTCCTCCCCATGCTGCTGCTATGATACACCAAGTCACTGTAGTGCACATGCATCATATGATGGCTACAAAAGAAAAATGCATCTTTAGAGAAAGTATGTAAGTGGTTAGTAACTAGTTTTTTCTCAGCTTACCAGATACCAGAGATGAACCATTACTAATACCACCATGAGCTCTACAATTTTTAGGATTACCAGATATTTTTCCTTACCTAGCAAAAAAAAATTTTTTTTTTTTAAAGATTTCATTTATTCATGAGAGATAGAGAGACAGAGAGGCAGAGACACAGGCAGAGGGAGAAGCAGACTCCATGCAGGGAGCCCGATGTGGGACTCGATCCCGGGTCTCCAGGATCAGGCCCTGGACTGAAGGCGGCGCTAAACCCCTGAGCCACCTGGGCTGCCCACAAAAAAAATTCTTTAAAAATTACCCTACAATTTGTATAAAACATTCCAGAGTTGAATCTCATTTTTGCTACCCTCAACGTATCAATAGAAACGAGTAATCAGAGCTTGAAAAAGACACACATATTAGCAAACTATTGTTAAAAGATTTATTGCAATAATACAATAAAAGTTTAGAAAACATTTGTTATGACTCAAACTGGTTTGGAAATCGCAGAGTAATGGGAAATTCCTGCAACATGACACCACAAGGATATTCTCAGACACTGTAGTTCTTTTAACAACAGCATGCCCCTGAATGTTCTTTCCTAAATTATCAATACATGAATCCTTAGGTGAATCCTGTCCACTACCCCCAATGTTGACATACTGTTTTTCCCCTTAACTTACAGATGTGCAAAACTTCTCTTAGTTATATTCCATTACAAAAAAAAAAAAGTCTTTAATAGACCATTTTAAGCAGCCTAGTTGGTGCCTGTAGGTTTTTATCAGTATTACCTTGTTTCAACAAATCATTTTATATGGAAAACATAACCAAGTTCTATGGCTTTTGTTTAAAAAAAATACCAGCTTCAATTTTTTAAAAAGCTGTTTACATATGGTTCTGGCACCTACATGAAAGATTTTAATGAGCAGCAAAGAGAGTAGGAAAAAACAGTGGTTGAAATGTATATTTAAGAATATTTACAGGGTGGATCCAGTGCAAAATAACGAAAACCAAAATATCTCAGCAGTGTAAGCCAGTATGTTGGTGTTCAAAACCACTAACGGGTTTGATCATTTAATCCTAAATAAAGTGCCTCTAGTTGATATAAAAAACAACAAAATACACCCTATCAATCCCTAATTTCCCATATCCTTGTAAGTTTTGTTGAATTACTCTAGATAGGAGTTGTGATCTCTGGAATCTATTCTTTAGTTTGACCTCACATTCATGGTTTCATAACAGGCTTACTTGAGAAAACCATGACAACTGTGCATCTTTTAGCCAAGGTCAATCTCTATCCCCAAGCCCCAAATCTGTCTTCCGTCTTCTCTTAGCTCAAGACTAAGCTCTTCTTTTTGAGGGTTTGAAGTGCCTAGACAACCCTTATCTCATGGGATTTTAAATTCATTTGGTATTTGTTCAAGTCTACCTACCCATTCCCTGTGAACTTCAGACCTGGCTGGTACAATGCTAGCTCAGCAATCATGAAGCTGTACCCGGCACCACCGATTGAGAACCCACATGGAGAAAAGCCTGTTTCCTCCCTCAGTGGAAAATTCATAGTCAGGGAACTCGGAACTCCTGGATAGGATAAACACCCTTCTTTTGCAACTCTACCAAACATTTCAATATACCAATAGCAAAAGCTACATAGCACCTCGGATTTGGAGGCAAAGTATCAACTATAATAATTACAAGAAGAAAAGAAGCTAGGGAAGGGCACGTCTCTGAATGATTTATCTGAGGTACTGTCATGCTAATCACACTAAAAAGATACGGTAATAATGCCTGTTAGGAATTTTTCATAGGATTTCTTTTTGTAGTTGTTACATAGGATTTTTTTTGCAATTATTAAAAATAAACTACTTACATATTTGTACATAATGCCTCTCTACAGTTTTCTTTAAGATTGTCACTAAGAGAATGACAAGACAGATACATTAGCTGAAGATGATCTCTTGGTGAGGGAAAATTCTGTCTGATAGAGAAGAGTAGTATCAGCTATGATTTGCATTTGAGTGCAGGTAGTGATTCTAGAGAAATGCCAACCTCTAAGAAAACAAGGAAGATGGTATTCCCTGGGAAAACCTGCCACCTACTGAATCCCTTCAAAAGAAACTAGGACACTCGAAGAATGACCAGAGGCCATTTAGTTAAGTGGCTTTTAACCTTAGTGCCCAGGCAGACAGCTTATGTAGGGGAATGACCTTAAAATGATGATTTCAAAATGCACAAAGTGTAGATGGTAGGAATTCAATAATCTATGTGAGAATGAACTTAATTCCCTTCAGAATATAAGAAAATAGTTTTTAAATCTCCAGGCCATCATTGCAGCTGGGATTTCTTCTGTTCATGGATGTGGGTCCAAAAATAAAAAAAACCTTCATTTCTTTGGTGTGTGGGAGAAAGAAAAACAGGAATGTCTGACAAGCTACGACAGCAGCAGCACGAGTGAAATAATTTTTAAACTACCCCTTCCCTCCATCCCTCCCCTTCCAAACAAAACCAAAATCCTTGACTTAAAAACCAAAGATGACCAAATTCTAGAGAAATCAAGTATTTCAAATTGCCTGCTGGTTCTCTGTACAAAAAATGATGGCATAAGCACAAACTCATGTGAAACAGTTTTTATCTTTCAAGTCCTAATCATCAGGAATCACTTCCTTGTGATTCAACCTCTAAAATGTAAAGTGTTCAGGAACAGTCTCAGCGACACAAGGATCAATGTGTCAGCCCACATCTGTGGGTCCTGTGGCCCATGACCGAAGGGAGCCCCAGTGAATTTTCTGCTTTAACAGAACAGGACGCACACCTTGGTCTTTCTTCTACCAATATGGGTCTGGCCAGAAGGACCTCTGACCTGTTGTTCTATCATAAGTGTGAGGGTCACTCCCACTGGCCATTTGATACGTAGAAATGCTTGTCTCCCTGCTTTAAAAAAAGCCCAAAGTTTAACCTCGTTTTGTTCTAGGCACTATCTTAACACAAAATTTACTAGAACATAGTGGAAGAACAACTTTCTCGACACAAACCTGGCGTGCTTTGGTCCGTGCGCATTAGCGGTGTCCGGTGTAAGCCTTAAACCAGGAGGTCACGGAGGCTGCGGCAGAGGAGATCATCCCACCCGCACTGCTGCTTGCGATGGGCGGGGACACCTGGCTGCTCTGGCTCTGGGAGCCTTCCACGGGCTGGGAAGGGATATCACAAAATCGGGGGCTCGGCAAGTTCTCCCAGTCTGTGCCCAGGTCGGTCTCCTCATCACTGACGCGCTCATCGCCGCTCTCATCGGATTCGCCCGCAACGCCGGGGTCCACGAACTCCATGGACTCCTCCAGGTCTGCTCTCACTTCAAAGGGCCCCGACCTGTGCACACACAGCGAGGGGTCAAGACAACCAGCATTGTGACAACAAGTGACAGAGGCCTGACGGGACCTAGGAGGCCCAGAGCCACCACTCCCCGTTTCCCAAGTCTGCACCATATCCCCCGTCGGCCTCTAATTGTGCTGTGCTTCACTTAAATAGCAGCCATCCAGGTCATGGATAAAACCTCAATACCACATCGTCCCTCAATTCCACCTCTGTGACGGGGGAAGACCCTGGATGGAAAACCCATCCACTGGGACCCACCATGCTGGCCCACAGCACGATCTCCTGTTTAAACAACTGCACACTATCTATGTATTCCAATGAGATGGTCCTGACAAAAACAGTCACTTGATGTACACTCTGGTCTATTAGTTGGTGGAACAAGTAATAAATGGTATAGGAAAAACATACGGGTGTTCTCTGAATATGGAAGCCTCTGGTTTCTACGTTCTTATGACTCAAAAGAGCTAACTAGTGTGGTGGTATGCACAGCAGCCGTGCTTCCTTGGATTGGTGTCAACAGCAGGTTCCTGGACACATTTTAAGATACGATCACATAATTCTCTAGGGGCACATTTAAGACAGGATGAGATATAACTATTTAGAATATAGTCATCTGGAATAATCCATATATCTGTACCATATTTTAGGAGGGAACTATTCCCCAAAGGTCCCTGATAACATCATCGTCTCCAAATCTAAGAACCTTTCTCAGGCCTCCCTCTTGGTGAGAGCTCATCAGGGCCACCGTGGACCTGTGTCCGCAAACCCCACCAGGCCTGCTACTGAGCTTCCCTTTCCCCCTCGGCTCCTGCCTCAGGAGAGCCAGGTGGTGCTGCCCCTCCCCAGGACTCCCTGTGGTCAAGGTCCTCTGGCAGCCCTCTCCCTCCACCCACTTCCCCCAGGATAAGGACACATGCCTCAGATAATTACTCTGGGGTAAATGACAGAGGTCAACAAAAATAAAATGACACACATCCTAGAATGATTACAGCCTGCCATTTTAGTCTATGGTCCAAAATGCTTTGCGACCTGAACGATGACAAAAGCCTGGCGCTGGCCTCCAATGCACATGTGTACCTACCTTCTGACCCACCTTCTCCAGGTTCCTCCAAGACAACCTTGCCTCTTGGCTGAACCAGCAACAGTAGCAGCTAACATTCCTGTCCTGGGCACTGTTTTTAGGGCTTTACAAATATTCATTAAGTTGGAAGATGCACCCGCACCACAGGGTGTCCCTTTGTCCTCTTGGGGGCAATTTACACCTAAAGTGCCCCTCTGACCAGGGGGTCCCAAGTCTAGGAGGCCTCCAGCTAGCCTGAAAAACCTTACTTTGCAAGAGGTGAAGGCAGCAGGAACTGGGAGACTCTCCTCACAGCCCCCTTACCTCACCTGCAGTCTTCCAAACAAACCAACCACTGAAACCAGAATCTTAGTGGAGTATCCCTTTCCTGTTTCCTTAAAGGTTCTCCTTACAATTCATTTATTTTCTTTCCCTTTTCTCTTTCCCTTGGTAAACAAGTCTACTCCAAAGACTTTTTCCCGACACCTCCCCTTCCTCCTGGCTTCACTGCCTGCCAGAGCTCTCCATCTGAAGGCTAAGCTATCGGGCTCATCTCTAGTTGAGCCAGGTGACCCATCCCAAAACAAGCCGCTGGGTCTCCACCCTCACGCTCCTGCCTGGGATCACCAAAGCAGCCCCCTCTGATCCTCAACATATACCCCCAGCTCAGGTCCTCACTGCACTACCACCTCTTTGTAGCCAGGGTCTGCCTCCAGTCTGCCCCGCCCACCTCAGCTTGCCAGAGAGCTGCCTTTCTCTCCTGTCAGGTGCCTACTAAACATATTCACCACCGAAGTATCTTAGCCGGGTTCCCACCTTTCCTCAACACAGTGCTCTCTCGTCCTGCCTGCTGAGCTCTGCTGTCCAGGGGCCTTAGGACCTCGCGCCAGATGAAGCCTTCCTTCCTGCTAGCTCAGAGGTATAGCCTGTTTTCTGTTCCTCTTTGATGTCACCTTATCTACAAGCATGAGACTGCCACTGTCCCGAGACCCCCTCTCAAAAAGTTTTCCTAGGGGTCAGGCAGGAGTGATACTGAGGGGCTGGAGCTTGGTCAGGGGTGGGGTGGGGATGGGGGATGATACTTCCTCTAGGCAGAGTCTACTTGACATGGAGCAGGTACTCAAGAATTTCAACTGAAAAAATAAACCAGTGGATGATTCCCAAAGTGGTCAGTTGGAGCAATTTCTGTTGCCCAGCATACCCTGAGCCACACACATCACACAAAATTAGCAAAAGAATTCAGTCTTTTATGCTCAATGTCATCATGGAATAAAGATTAGTAATTTTCTCAAGATGCTGCAGGGAACTGTTCTTACCAATTAAGGCAACAAAATGACCTTTTTGGTTTTTAAAACTCTTTTGCAAAATAGCTTATTTCAAAAATATTACCCAACAAAATATACAACATCAAGAATGAACTCTAACATAAACTATGCACTTTGGATGATAATGATATTAAAGCAAGCACCATCATGGTAAGGACTGAATCAGATAAGAAAAATCAAGACATTAAATCCAGAAGGAAATTCTGATAAAAGCAGGAAACTGCGTGGTCTCAAAGTATCTCCCCACAGATGACTTCCTAGTTGCAAAGGAAGGAAAAATCTAGGAATTATACAGTGGAGAGGTGGAAAGCCTTGTGACGAGGTGATCAAATTAACATCACCAATGAGGGACAGATGGCCACTGTGGCCTCCAGGGTGTCTAGAAACACTCCTGGCCCAGGCAGTGTTCCAGCCTAGAATGCACAGAATTCCTGAAAAATCACTGTAAGGAAATATCAAATTCAGAATAAAAGTTCTATCAATACAAAGGGGAAAATGTTAATGTCATAAAACACAAACTGGCTATGAAAATGTTCCAGATTTAAAGAAGACTAAAGAAACACAGCAACTAAATCCAACACCAGACTCTAGATAGGACCCTGTACTGGAGAGGAAAATGCTATAAAGGACGCTAATCTGGTCCACAGACAAAACATGCAGATGGGCAGTAGATTAAAGTATTGTATCAATGTGAAATTTGCTCATATTGGTAACTGTACTGTAGTTAAGCATGAAAATAACCCTATTTTTAAGAAATACACTGAGAAGTATTTAAGGGTCAAGAGCTATGATATGTATGTAACTTACCCTCCTCACAGGGTTCAGGAAAAAATAATGTGTCTTTATGCAGATACACAAATGATAAACAAATAGGGTTAAACAGTAACAAAGGTGAGTCTGGGGTAAAGGGTATGTCTTTACACTACTTTTATTTTTTGCAATTTTGAATATTTTTGCAAGGTTGGATTTATTTCAAAGAAAAAAAGGTTTATGTTGGATTCTGGATGAGATCCTCAATTCAGCTGGTCTCCATGGAAATAGGAAGTCCCACCCAGATTCCAGTAACAATCTCTGGACAGCCTTGATTCTGACTGAGGCACATGTGAAAGGGGACTCCTGAAGCTCTAGCTCCTAGCCTCCTGGCTCACAGACGACCATCTTGGATATAATGAGCCTTGCTGTGTGTGCTTCTGTTGCACAGACCCTTACCCTAACTAGAGAGCTGACTCAAGGGCAAGCCCATAGAAAACCTCAGACCCTCCAAAGAAATCCACCCCTCAAAGAAGAGGGCCTGTTTTTCTGAACCACCACCAATATTGGATGTCAGCAGTTCTTTCCATGTTTGCCCAATTGCTGTGTGAAAACTGGAAAGCTGTTTTGAATTCCGCTTCTTTATTCTTAATTGAGGCTGAAGATATTTTTCATTTGAATACTGATTTCTTGCATTTCTTTTGTGTGAATTCCCTGGATTAATCCTCTGTCTGTTTTTCTATTAGGTCTGCCTTTCTTTTACAGATTTGAAATTTTAAGTAGTCCAGACTTTAATCCATTGTCTGATGTACAGGCTGCAAAACATATCTGTTGCTTATCTTAACTTTATGGTATCTGGTATTTTACCAGAGGCCTTTAGAGTTTACACAGTAAAATATGTAACTCCTTCCCTTCATGGAGTTTTGGGTTTTGTGGCTTGCATGGTAATTCTCTTCCCACCCTGTGATTATAAAACATTATCTTTTCTCCTAGCTATTTTACAGGGTTTTTTTTTTTTAAATAAAATAAGGCCTTTTCTATCATCTGGAATTTATTTTTATATATGGAATGTAGTATGCATCCAGCTCTGTCCTTGTATGAATACCCACCTAGCCCTGTTATCAATCTATTATTATCTGGTTCCACATGCCTCCTTATGACATGTTATACTCCCTGCATGGACAGGGCCTGTTTCTGGACTCTCTTCTCTTCGTCTAATTGTTCCACCTACTTGTGTGCTAACAGCGCCTTGTTTTAACTACATTTATGCTATGTTTTCAAAGGGGGCAAGCCCATCCTTTTCCCTTCTTTCCCAAATTTCCTTGCAGCTTATGCTTCTAGTTGAATTTCAGAATTAGCCTGTCAAAATTCCATGAAGTATCTGTTCAAATTCTGATCACACTTCCCTTTTGGGGAGAAGTAGCATTTTTATAATACCCAGCCTTCTGATCCTAGAAAATCCTGAGGATCCCTCACTGCCTCAGGCCCTCTTTTATTCAGTCCCACACTTCGTATGGTATCTGGCAGACACTCAAGAAATAGGTGTCTTCAAGTTTCATATTTTCTTTACATGGTTTGCATATATTTTGTAAAGATTATTCCTATATAATTTATAGTTTGTACTGCTACAGTAATGGGGACCCTTTTCTCATTACATCTTCTAGCTAGTTGTCAGCATGTGAGAAAGCAAGTTCTTTTGGATGTCCAATTCAACAATCATACCCTCTACAACAATGTCAATTTAGTTTATTTTCTTTCCCATATAAGTATACCTTACTTCTTTGTAAAACTGTTTTGCCTCACCTAGGCTTCCAGAGCGATGTTAACTGGCAGTGACAACAGCATCCTCTTGCTTTTATTAAACATCCATGTAAGGAACATGTCATTAAGTAGTCTTTTCTGTATGTTTATGATAGATACCCTTTACTAATTATCTATTTTTGATCTGCAAGTAGTTTTCTTTAATTATTAATGGGAACTGAAATTTATTTTCTGCTCTCTGGCATCTATCAGGTTCATCTTTTTTTTTTTTTTTTAATCTGTTAATGTGATGAAATAGTGTGTACTGGTTAAAAGCATGAGTATCTACTACTCTTGGAGTCAGATGTGTGCTGCGACCCTGGCTCTACTACTTTTACTGCCTCTGTGATCATGGGCACGAATTACTTGACTACGCTAAGCTTCAGTTAACTACCCCCTTCTGTAAAATAAGCATAATCATCCCACCTATGATTTAAGGCACGTCAGATAGTTGGCTCAGGGTCAATAAATATTGGCTCAGTAACTACTAGTTCTTGTTGTTAAGGATTAATTTTCTAATGTTGAACTCTTTACAAAGAAGGTACAAAGAGGATGGCAAGCAAACCTACAGAAATCAACCACTAAAACTGGGATGGATTTCTAACATGTTTGTGTGGTTTGGAATCTGAGACAAGGAAAATGAAGTCCCTATAAAGTGGCACAAAATTCTAAGTGTGTGCGCAGTTCCCTGGAGAGAATGCACAGGTTTTTCCAAAGGGTTCTATGTCCCAGGAAAGTTAGTTTCAGGTAGGGAAAGAAACACAAGCCAGTGGCTAAGGGCAGATTACCACGGGAAGTTCACTGCAATGTGGAGGAAGCCGAGCAGTGGAAGGGGTACCCCTGGAGCCTTGGTTCCTGCTGTAAAAGGAATGAACAAATAACGATGGGAAAGGGCCTTTTATTTTCTTTGTCCTCTTTCAGAAGTGCAAATACATTAACCAAGTCCTCTCTCAAGATGTATGGAGAGACCGCTGAGAGCATGGAAAAGGCTAAGTACTCAGAGAGGAGTTACTTGCATGGAACTAAAGAAAAGCTTCCTCTGTGTCATGCTTTTTGGGCTAAGAGATGGTCTTTTTTGTTACTGACTCCAATTTTTAAGCTAATGGATTTTAAACTACTTCACTCTATAAGCTCCTAATATCCTTTATCTCCAATAGATGGTGGCCAGATAGACAAAAGAAAATTGAGAAGATCTCTTACAATGGGAGGAGGCATGAAAGAAAATGCATAGGAAAGGGGGCAGACACAGCTGAGAAGAAACAGATGTGGATTCAAAGAAATGGCTTCTGGGCTTCAAGGACAGCACAAGGCGGCTGCACTCCAGAACATCTGGATTCTTCTATTTCATTTTAGGTGTTAAAAATGCTTGATGTTAATTATCTGAAAAATTATTATGTAAGGACCGTAAAGGTTCAAATATGATTAGCCACTCCTTCCTTCTGTGTAAGACATTATTTTTGTCCTTTTCTGGAGTCTGTGGGGGGTGAGGAAGAGGCCCGCCCCTGTGCTCTGCTGACACGTACAACTCTACTCAGAAGTACTCACAGCACCACCACTTAGAAAAAAGCAAATGCCATTCTTACCTGCCCAGGTGTTCAGAGTTTGGACTGACCAGGTACATTAGGTTCCTGAGAGTATGCAGTGGTTGTAACTGATCTAAGTTTACATGCTAGAAAAAGCAAAAAACTGGTTAATATTTTCAACCAAGTAACACATTAAAAATGAGCTCTCAGCATATTTTCCATACCTGAGAAAAGCACAGGTAAAGGATATTTGCATTCAGTTTCTTCACTGCTCGAGTAAATTTCTGTCTGCTGAGATTTTCCCCACAAAATTCACTGGGAAAAAAAAAACCATACAATTTGTAAAGTTGTATTTTATTTTGAGGAAATTCTATGTTAAAATGTCTGTTTTGAAGAGTGTATTTTACACCAGTTAAGTATATAACATACCTCACGTCCTTTGTCTCTTTATAAGTTATACTCAACAGAGACTTTCTAAGGATGAACTACTGCTCTCATGATGAGCAACTTCACCACCTCTATAAATATTTTAAAGGCACACATAAATCCTCTGACCAAGCAATTCCACTTGTGAAAATTTATTCAACACAAATACTTGCACGCTATTGAAACGAATGTACAAGATTATTCTGTGAAATATAAATAGGGGACTGGTGAGATCCTGGCCCATTTATACAAAGAAACCTCTGTTAACTGTCCACTCTATGCAGAGTGGCAGATGGAGGCTCACAAAGGCTCTACAAGGCCCACCCAGTTTGCACCTCCACCTTCTCTGCCGCCCTTGCGCTCCCCACAGGACCTTCTCTCTTTGCCCACAGCTTCTCCCTCAGGATCCCACATCATCACACAGCTGTCCGCTCATATATGCAAGCACTTCCCTGCCACTACATTCCCTCTCTTTCACCCTGCTTTAACATCCTGCACAGGATTCAGCAGCAGCTGACATGCTGCTTACTTGTTATCTGTCCCTCTGTCAGAATGAAGTGCCAAGAGGGCAAGGATTATGTTTTCGTCACCACAGTACCCTCTCAGTGCCCAGAAAAGGGCTCAAATATTTGTTAAATACTCAAAAAGCAAGATGCAGAACACCCTAGTATATCTTTTGTGTTTAAAAGGGCAGAAGAGATAGTAATACATATTTACTTGACTTGAAGTTTAAGGATGACTGAACAGAGATAGGAAGGTTTTAGTAGAACTGAGTACACTGTAAACCTTCACATTTTTTTCTAAAGATTTTATTTTGGGGTGCCTGGGTGGCCCAGTCAGTTAAGCATTTGACAAAGGTCATGGTCTCAGGGGCATGAGATCAAGCCATGTGTCAGGTTCCACACTCAGTGCAGAGTCTGCTGAAAAAACTCTCCCCCTCTCCCCCCTGCCCCCTTCAATATGCATGCTTTCTTGTGCTCTCTCTTAAATAAAAATAAATAAATCTCAAAAAAAAAAAGACTTTATTTTTAAGTAATCTCTATACACAATGTGGGGCTCAAACTCACAACCCTGAGATCAAAAGCTGCATGCTCTACCGACTGAACCAGTCAGGCATCGCTACATTTTTTTTTGAATTTTTAAACATGTTTTTTATCTTAAAAACTTAAATATTCAAGTGTTATAATTTACTCAGGTTTTTTTTTACACATGAGCATACCCTCTAAAGATCCTAGTTTTTCCTTCAATTATTTTTCCAAGTAAGAATTCTCTGTGGTCTCCTCAAAGACTTCACGTGCAATTATAAGATAATGAAACAAATTTGCACATTAGGCTTTTGAAATCTCAGTATTTCATAATCATTTTTCTGGCTTAATATTTAAATTCCTGTTTTTGGTTTAATTAGAATAAGAACACAGTAGGAACACGAGATCTATGATAAAGATGACATTGCCACCTTTGGTTACTTGCCTGTTGCACAGCTTTTTGGGAAGATTTATATCAAGTATATGAGACAAAATGTTGACCAGCTGAGTTGCGTAGCACAATGCAGCACTGATCGTGTAAGCAGGGTTACTATGCTCCATGTCTGAAGTATAAAAACAACCGTACACAAACAACTTTAATTTCAACAAAAAATACCAATGAACTTGTATTTTATGATTTATAATTTTATCATATTATTGATGGTTATGCTTTGCTCCTTACTAATATACTAATAAAATGTTCATGGCCACACATTAATGTTTCATTGTTTATGGTTTTTTGTTGGAATGTAACCTAAGCAAATGGGCCTAGACAGACCCAACATAAATGAAATGAAAGTCAGAACCGCTTGGACCTGATAATGTATTATTTATCAGAACAGTAAATGCCTAACTTCAATGTCACCTCCTCAGAGAGGTCTCACCTGGGCTACGCCTGTCTTGGTGACATCACCTTTGTAGCATCAGTACCCAGCACTGTGCATGACAGAGGCAGATACTCACTGTGTATTTGGAAAATGACTTAATAAACAATCCTTTCTCCACCAAAGAAAGCTATAGGGGTTTTACAGGGTTTTTCTATCTCAATTTAGGGCTGCTAAAACAAACTCTTTACAAACTATAAAAATAGGACTCAACCAGTTACATATACTAACTACTGAGGACTTTTTATATAAATAAGGCAATATTGGCTCCCCAAAAGTAAAATATCTAAAAAATGTTTTCAGTAAATCCACTGATGGATTAAATATAAAACACAATATACCCACATTACATACAATGAAATATTAATCATAAAAAGAATGAAATGCTAATTCATGCTACAATATGGATGAACCTTGAACATCATGCTATGTAAAAAAAGCCAGACACAAAAGGCCACGCATTGTATGATTCCATTTCTATAAAATATCCAAAATAGACACAACTATAGTTACAGAAAACAAAATTACAGATCCTCCTCAATGTATGATGGGGTTATGTCATGATAAACTCATCATAAACTGGAAATATCCTAAGTGAAAAATACATTTAATGCACCTAAACAACTAAACACCAAAGTTTAGCCTGACCTGCCTTACACAGGCCCAGAACACTGACATTAGCCTACAGTCGGGCAAAATCATCTAATGCAAAGCCTATTTATAATAAAGTGTTGAATACCTCATGCCACGTCTTGAATACTATACTGAAAGTGAAACACAGAACAGTTATGAGTGTATCTACAGGCTGTGGACCCTCAGGACCACGGAGCTGCCTAGGAGCCACAGTGCCAAGCACCCTGAGAGTATGCATGGCAGACCACTAGCCCAGGAAAAGATGCAAATTCAAAATTCAAAGCATGGTTTCTACTGAATGTGTACTGCTTTTGTATCATCATAAAGTCAAAAAATTGTAAGTTGAACAATCACAAGTTGGGATCATCTGTAGGGGATGTCATGACATGGGAGGAGAGGGGACAGGGGAATGACATCTTTGTGCCCTGGAGTTCCCGTCTGGGGTGATGCAGGAGCTCTGGAACTCAACAGAGGTGGTCACTGCACAACACTGTCAATCTATTAATGCCACTAAACTGTTCACTTTAAAACTGTCATCCTGTTATGTAAATTTTACCTCAATTTAAAAAAAAAACACATAATTAAGAGTTTTCAAAGACTATTTTGATTCTCACCAGGCCCCTGTGTGGTTTTCTTCTCTTCTACCCAATTGTAGTAGGCAGAGTAGTCCCCATTGTTGGGAAGGCTAATCCAAGGCCCTGTAATGCTAATGCTGGTGTCCCCATTATGATCGTCACAGACCCATCTCCCAGAGAGGTAAGTCGTCCTCCGGGCCTCGGCAAGCTTGCTCACGGTGCTGGAGGTCATGGCACTGTCACTCTCTGAGGACACATCTGCGGGATCTCTAGAAATCAGAACATACATCCAGATTTCAAGGGAGGTTTTAAAGAGCATGCAGGATACTTGCCTATCTGTAGAATACAGAGAGATGCACACACAAGGGCAGGAATTTAACTGGAATATACAGAGGCAAGTACTTCTATCAGAGATGAGCTCAAACCAGCTGTGGCACAGATATCCACACCAATGTGAGGAAGATGGCACCATGAGTGGGACCTCAAGGATCAGGTCTCAAAGCCCCTTATTACATGCTTAAAGGTTTTTAAGGACCCCAAATAGCTTTTGTGTATGTGTGTTGTATCTATTGATATTTACTTGTTTTAGAAATCTGAGAAAATTTTAAATTAATTCATTTAGAAATGATAAACCTATTACATGTTAACATAGCATATTTTTATGGAAATCTATACTTTTCAAAACAAGAAAATTAGTGAAGAGTGGCACTGTTTGTTGACCAGCTTAAATACAGAGCAAAACACAGCACTGGTCAAGACTTTTCAAAATCTCTTTAATACCCAAGTCTTGCAGTTGTTCTTTCAATAAAAATAGTGTCCCATGGAAAAAACCAAGTAGTTCCACTTGCAACTCACTCAAGTGCTTTTTCTTAAGCCAACCATGGCACTTCAGTACGGAGGAAAAGAGCTTCCTGCATATTTCCCATTTCATCATATGGAATATTAAAAAGATGTCTACACAAGAATCAAGACTTAATAAAATTTAAATAAAAATAAAACTTCTGGGATGCCTGGGTGGCTCAGTGGGTGAGCATCTGCCTTTGGCTCAGGGCATGATCCCGGGTCCAGGATCGAGTCCCACATCAGGCATCCTGCGAGGAGCCTCCTACTGCCTCTGTTTCTATCTCTCTTCTACTTCTTTCTCTCTCTCTCATGAATAAATAAAATCTTTAAAAAAAAATATATATATATATATATATAATTTCTATTGATTCATCAAGAGCATCCTTGATGTGAAACACGTTTTTCTAAAAAAAAAAACAACCATGCAAGTATGTGGGAGAATACAATGACCAGTACATAGTTGGTGACACTGCTTAGGAGTCTGTCAAGGCACCAGTTTTTACCTATGATGGCTTCTGAAGCACCAGTGCAAATGTCTAGGCAGTGAAAAAGGGAAAGCGTTACTAGAGAAAGTGTAGAAATACTTCTGACAGCACAGACACCTCAGAGGATCTCAGCTGACCACGGTTTGAGAACTGCTGGCCAGGGGAGTGGAGAGGACGGGAAGTCAGAGTGGGCGCAAAGTGCGTAGCGCATCTGTGGGGCAGAGAGGCTCTGTGTGGTCCAGTGGTGGCTGCAACCAGGAAAGTGCTAGGAGCTGGTGTCAGAAAAATTTAGGTGGGAAACAGTCAGACTGGGAAGGGCCTCTGTATTACACCGAGTTTAGGTTGTTTTCTCAACCCTGTCTCCTTCCACCACAGTGGCCTGTGAGGTAATGCCCCCGGGTGTGATGGGCAAGACAGGGCAGGGGAGCTACTGCCAGTTCCATGATGTACCTCTACTTCTTCTTTCTTCCATTTAAAGTTTTCTCCATGTTTTCTCTTCTACAACTTTGTATTCAATTGTCAATCTCCTCAAATCTGGGACAGTGTTTGTGCTTACTGTAATGTCTTTTAACATTGCTATATGGGTCCCTCAGAATCTAATTTAGCCCCGGGACACCTGGCTGGCTCAGCTGGAAGAACAGGTGACTCTTGATCTTGGGGTCAGGAGTTTGAGCCCCACGTTTGATGTAGAGATCACCAAAAGAATAAAATAAACTTAAAAAAAAATCTATTTTAGCATATTTATTAGCTTTTCCCTCCTCAAAGGTCTGGTTGTCTGTTAACACCAGTTTTCAGATAATCCAACTTCTCCCCACTGACCCAAAAGGCTACCCTAGAATCTATTTCTGAGCTTTCTATTCTGCTCTATTTTGAATCTGCCTTTTTATTTTTATATTTGCCAACCATTACTAATGAAAAACTATTTAGTAAAAGTCAGAGAGCAGGTTTTCAAGCCAGAAGGAATAATCAGACCTTTAGGCTTTTAGGAAGTTCACCCTGGCAGCAGCCAAAGGACACAGTGAAGTAGAGGTAGCAAAGAATAGTAATAGTCCTCACTATTAACAGTCCACTGACCATCCAGGGAAGGATACTGGAAAGTGACAGCAACCAAAAAAGTCAGGAAAATCTTCAACTGGAATAGCCTGATGGTTAGTGAGAAAGCAAAGGAATTCCTCAGTAGCAGTTTTAAAACCCATCAAACACTGTCTGGGGGTAGTTAAAAAAAAAAAAAAAGATATTATTAGATGGATTGGGGGGCCGAAGGAGTGTCCTCTGGAACTTGTATTTGCCAAAAGCTCCTGAGTGACTGTAATGAGCATCTAGGTGGGGAACCACTGTCTTGTCCATCTGATGACTCCTGAGGGTATCCATGTGCTAGAGCCTAAGACTAAACTCAGTCTCCTGTGCTTGGCAGTGGTCAGTTACCAGGAAAAGGCTAAGCAAACAGATCAGTCAACAAGCAAGGGCCTCACTTCTTTGAGGGCCACCGCCCTTCATCTTGGCTGCCTCCCCAATTTTGTAGCATGTACTGTTTGCTGAAGCAGATAAGACTTCACTTTCATTACTGGGAAAGTAATGACCCCAGAATGAACCCAATAAATGAGGTATTGCCATATTTGAAAAATACTTGATCTTTGGAACTTGATCTATTCCTAGAGTCAAAAGACTCACTGTACCTCACACTAGTCTTTACTTCCTCGATTGGAAAAATGACAGAGGTTAGCTCCAATATATAAGATCGCCGAAGATTGGCCAGACGCTCATAATGACTTCTTAAGTCAATGGTTTTTTTTTCTACCAGGTCACCAAGTTTGCGATTGTGCCTCTGAATCTTCTCCTTTTTCTCTTGATGCCGCTGTGCTCGAGTATAAAGCTTCTGATTTTTTTCCTTGGTTTTGAGAAGGCCTTCAGAATCTGAAATAAATCATACCCAACAATTATTTCTACAAATAGCCCCTGGGGACTACATAACCCACAAGTATAAGCATCTTCCTGCAGTTTAAACTGAAAGCAAAACCTCAAACAGGTTAACTAGATAATGTTCACTAAGTGAAACTGAGAGTCCAGCTTCAGTAAATAAAGTGGACCACTACTAAAAAAGACTCTAGGTCTCCATCTGTAGTCATCATTTGTAACAATCACTCAACAACTATCAAGTTTAAGCCAGAAAGTACCTGACTTACGGTAAGCACTGAAGAATAACCATGGTGGGCAGAAAAGATAAATAATCCAAATCTGAAAAACTTACTGGCTATCTGATTTTCCTTATAAACCTCTTACATGTGCTTCGGGTTCCATTCAGAGACCCAAGGATAAGCTCACGACAGGTGCTCATGCAGCAAAAAAATAGACCAAGGGCTCTGAAAAGTTACAATGGAGTGCAGCGGCACCCAGCAGGGTAGGAGCACCTACTGTATGCTAGCTTTTGAAGCACTACAGGGGCAGCCAAGAAAGGAGAGAGATGCTCATCTTGTCTGACATGTGTTCTTTTCAAGGAGCCCCTTCAAGTTCTGGATCAAGACCTGCTAGGGTGTTAGGTTGTAGCTCAATTCCTCTAGGGTGGCAAAAATGAGTTGCAAAATTTCAGACAGACTTCCAGAAGCAACTTAGGGAGGCTCAGACAAGTTCAAAATCAAGCTCATTATTTTCCCACAAAAGCCTCATCTTGATACTACGTTCTCTACTTAATGATTATTTTTGATCTGTCCACAGCCTAAATCAGTCCCCTGCTGGTCAATTCCATGGCTGACCTACTATTTCTTAGACCTAAGGTTTTCTTTTTCATTCCCACTGTTACAATCTTCTTAACTCTCCCCCAAATCCCACCTCCAGCTCAGCTCCACTCTAGGTCTTCACCCGCCCAGTCTTCAGCAACAGTAACTGGTGCCCAGCGGTTCTCCACTAATGGACCCACACTCCCCTCCTCGGTCTTGAGGCCACCCAAACACTGGCACATATTCCACAGTTCTCTTCTGCACCCCTTCACTCCAGCCTCATTCACTTAGTAGACACTCCAACCTTCCTCCACAAAGTGGAACTATTTACGTGAATGCATGCATGGATGGATGGATACTGGATCCCTTTCTGATGTCCTCTACAGATCCTATTCAGATTAATGTATCTAGGGACACTATTAGCTTCTAACTCTTCAAATGTTCAAATTTTTCACATTCAGTCAGGCCCCCTTCCATAAGTGCTCCCCAGACCTCTTGCTCTTCAGAAGCCTATGGCAATGTTTATACCTCACCTATGGCACATAGCGTAGTTCCTTACATCAGATCCAACCAAAGCCTGTTGTCCTGACTAGAATGTTAACAAGCAACTGAAAAATGCCTCATTGGTGGGCCTCCTCATGAGGACCCCTGAACCTGGGTATTTTGCTGTAGGCATAAGGTTTCTTCCAGTTTTATTTCCCTTCACTTGCACATTCTCTCTACTGTTCCTGCTCAGCGCGAAAGTTCTGTTTCAGTTGTTGGTTCCATCACACTTACTTTCCAGCAAGTGCCTTCATTCTCCTCATCACTACTGAGTTCTTCGCAAGTGCTCAGATGAATGTTTAGCCATGGCCCACAGCCATATGGCAATCAGATATTTTAAGAACTATTTCCAACTTAATATCATGACCCTTCACAGGAGGCAGATCACTAGTCACCTAATCTGCACTAGTCCAGACTCAGCACTCAAGAATTTAATGTGTCCTCCTCTCCGTGCCATCTCCCCCTAAACATAAAAATGCTTTGATGCTATTTATGTCATCTACTGTTGCTTGTCTGGATAAGTAACTTTATAGCACAGATCAACTTAACCTTAAAAGTTCATACAATCTGACTTCCCTATCTATAGCCACATAACAGATCTGTATTATTGTCTATCATGGCACATAAAGCCAAAAGATTCTGGAGAAATATTCATCGGGTTCTACAGTTTATAATTAATAACCTTTTCTGAATATATATGATATTTTAATAACAAAACTTAAAAAAAAATACTATTTACTGGGTAACAAGCTCTTCATATATAGACTTGAGACCATGCACACTTTCTGGAATCCATTAGCTCCCTTAAAATTGTTTGCAAAATTTTTGAGACTTGTCTAAAGGGTGGCAATGAGGCTCCATTTCTGTTCTAAAGAGCAGTGGTTCCCAACCCTGGTAGGTCATTAGTACCACCTAGAATACTGCTACTCAAAGTGTGGCCTATGGATCTGGGCCCATCAGTAAACTTGCACCAGACAAGATAAGTACAGAAATACAGAGTGAGTTTAGCAACATTTTTCTTTGGCGTGGTAATATGACGCTGCCATGAAATCCAAGTGTGCAATCATTTTTCTAGTATTTTATTGTATTTTACAAAAGTACCGGTATCAGTTTAGATTAGAAATCAGAGGAGGGGGCAAAAAAGGTCTTTTACTACAGACAGTTTAAGAACCACTGACCCAGTCCCCACACATGTGATTTTTATTTCCTAGGTCCAAGGTGGGTCCCAGGATTTTCTCTCTAGATTTTATAAAGGTCACCAGATGACTCTGAAGATTTGCTAGGAATGGAATGCAATGTTATAGGGCCCACTGCTTTAGTACCAAATCTTTTCTGTGGTGGTTGTTTCGTTTGGGGGAGTTAGGAATCTCTTAAGATCAGATGATCAAAGTTTTAAACTTGCTCATCAGGGAAATGCACAAACTCAGTAAATCCTACAATTTCAACAGGCTCACAGACAACTGGTGACAAACCCCTGGTGTAAACATCATGGGAGGATGTGGAAAGAGGGTGAACCAATGTCCTACACTGCTACTGAACCAGAGCCTCTGGAGCTGCATGCAAAGCTCAGTGGATTATCAGCTGTCTATACTGAGTACCTCTTCACTATGTTGCTGCCTTCTTCTCTAGCTTATTAATCTTGTGAAACTCCACAGGAGCACTTTATTAGGACAAACATTTTCAAAGGAAGCTTTTGCTCTATTACATACCACTATAAAATACTTGCTTCTGAAAGCAACAAGCAGACAAGAAAGGGATTCATAAGGTATGACGGTGACTCACTCTTAACTTTAAACAATGATCTTCAGAAATACATGGAATATGTCTAAGGATATAGGATTTCTAAGAAGATTCACCCTAATTTTGACAACCATCTATGATGAAGGATGACGTATATAACTATAATGTAAGAATAATACAGATTAAAATGTGTGTGAGACTCACTAATGGAGAAAAAGCCAATATTCTGTGCTTATGGAGTGAACTAATAATTATAACTGAGTACAACAAGCTTCCTGTTAGTGAAAGCAGATAGGAACTATGTATTCCTTAAGATTTTTAATTGAGAAAAGTAGTTTATTCAAAGGTCATTATATTTGTGTGTGTGTATATATATATATATATATACCCGTGTGTGTGTGTGTTATGTAAAAAATATGTATTTGGAAAAACATGTAAGTATATATGTATTTACTTAAAATCCATATACAAATGTTTTACAAGAGGAGGAAGGCAAGAAATAAACCTTTCCAGGCTGTTGTTGCCTTCCCACCCCTTCTCTCTTTCTGTTTTGCTAACTTATTAATCCAATGAAATTCCACACTAGCTCTTTATTAGGTCTAGAAGAGGGGGACAAATTACTTACTTATTTTCATTTCTTCATTTCCTTTACATATTGTTTGTTTCAGCTGTTCAATCCTCATCTTGCAGGACATTATTTTCCATCGCTGAAAAAAACAAAGTATGCAATAAATATCACAAATGTTGATCTCCTATGATTAATATGATTATCTACCTAGGATCACTATTATTTTGAGGTATATCTTAGAAAACATAATGAAGAAAAGACCAACATAATTGTATTTATTATAACTTTTGTGACAACTATGGTAGGTTACAAGAAATAAAAAGTGTTATTCTGGTTCAATGCTGAAGCTGGTAGGAGATTAAGATAGAGGGAAAGAAATTCACATAGTTCTTTCATGTGTTAATGAGGAGAAAAATGGTGAAGGATATTTTCTTAATCTGCTCTGTCCAATATACTGACAGTGATCACATGTGGCAATTTAAAAGTCATTTGAAATTACATAAAAATCAGTTCCTATTCAATATCACCCACATACAGTTTTCAACACATGTAGCTAATGGTTACCATGCTGGTAAGTGTAGACATAAAACATCTGCAACACTACAGAAAGTTCTACTACTGCACTGCTCTAAACTCTTTATGCTATTTACTGGGAGACCATTAACATCAGTGGATTATCTCACTAATACAATAAGTAAAATACTTACTACTTAATACTTGCAAAATAATAAAAACTATAAGAAAATCTGAAGTTTTTCTCCCCCAATGTGAATAAAAGATCAGTAAAAATAAAACCTGGTAGTCAGTTAAAAAGTATAATTTAAATACTTCTTACAGCTTACCAACTGATCTGTTATCCATCTTCCTTCCACAGCTTTTAACACTCTGCACAGAGAAAAGACAATTAATAAATTTTGTGAAACTCAAAAATGTAAAAGCAACATCTTTTAGAAGTAAATTCTTAAGAATGGCTGGAAATACCAAACTAAGACTCAAGCATTTAAAAATGTTTTCCAGGGGTGCCTGGCAGCTCAGTCAGTGGAGCATGTGACTCTTGATCTTGGGGTTGTGAGTCTGAGCCCCATTCTGGGAGAGATTACTTAAATAAAATCTCTAAAAAATAAAAATGGTTTCCAAATTTCCCATTCTTTATTTTTCCCATCATTTCCTTCTTTTTGCACTTTTAATACTTCCCAGAATCTTTCTGTAAACATTCACAATTTCCAATAACAGCCAGAGACTGTCTGAAGTCATAAGATTTAAGTCAATAATTAAGTAAATAAGTCAATCTTAAGTCAATAATTTCCATCAGTCATTATTGCTAATAATAACTTATAAGAGAATTAATAATCTAAAATGCAATGCTTAGTTCCCAAAGAAATGGCACACAAGCAGGCATCGTTAAAAAAAAAAAAAACTGTTCTATGGAGTGAAGTACTCTATGGGAGAAATAAAAGTTTCTGTGATTGAGTATGTTAGAGAAATAACTTAAATAAATCTAAGCAGGTTCCTGTAATGCAGGGCACTTCAGAAGATTTAATCTGCTCATAAATGATGCACCTGGGGTGCATCTGGAGAATAGTGACTGGGTCAATTTGGGACAGAAGATTCTACAGGATGATTCTCAAACCCAGAGGGTGAGATTCATCACGGTGCTTGCTAATTCATCACTCAGATTCCAGGGCTTCCCCTCCCCACCCCCCACACACAGGCCTAGAGTTAGAGTATTTGTGGATACATTCTAAGAATCTGCATTTTTAACTATTAACTTAGGTAATGAATTCTGATGTAGATGATATACAGACCACACTGCAAAAATGCTGATCCAAAAGAAAGGTAAATGGAAGATGGCTGTTCTACAGGAACCACCACTTATTTGCCTATTCTGGACCCACTTACTGCATATCCATTATCAGGGCCAGGGAGGGGTGTGATTCATTGCTCTAGTCATTGAGTATCTGCTGTGTACAAGGCACTGAGTCTGATCTCAGTATTTTCTAGGACCTTGATAATCTCTCCTATTTTGTTCCTCTCAGATGCACTGCTCTTTTCCACACTTTGAGAATGAATCCTAAATTCAACAAGTCAGCAATCCATATATCCGCATACCACAGCACTGAATTAAACCACATGGTGACAAGAGAACTTCCACACATGTAAAAGCAAAAGGGAAACTCACTCTTTTTGATATTCCTCCTGCTTGCTCTTAAGTTGGCTTAACCTTTCTTTCTTATCTATAAACCTGTAAGAAAAAGATGTAACTGTTTTATTTAAATGTTCATTTTTTTCAGTTCAGTGAGATTATGCAAATTGCTAAGATCCAATCATTTTCTCTGGAGATGTCAGTCCTGAAAAGTAAATACAAAAGGCGGGTGCGCACATAGCTGCTTACCTCATTTGCTCATTTTAAAAGTTCAAATTCTCATCTTTAAAATTCTTTCATGGGTTTACGGGCATCTGGCTGGCTCAATCAGTAAAATTCTTCCACGGGTTTATAAAATGTATCTAGAACTCCCTCCACCTCAGATTAAATTATCTTCCAAAACAGGCACATCAGAGCACTACAGTGAATGTGAATTCAAGAAAACTGAGGCTTCTAACATAAACATGATTTTAATTATTTAGCTTAATTCAATCCTGCTCTCACCTATATGTAAATTGGTTACTTATAATTTTTATTTTCCATTTAAAAATTATTTTTATTTATTTTTAAAGATCTTATCTATTCATTCATGAGAGACACACAGGCAGAGGGAGAAGCAGGCTCCGTGCAGGGAGCCCGACATGGGACTCGATCCCGGGACTCTACGATCACGCCCTGAGCCAAAGGCAGATGCTCAACCGCTGAGCCACCCAGGCGTCCCAGTTACTTATAATTTTTAAGTTACAATTTTTTTTTCTTACTAATTTTATTGCTAGTCTGTTATGGGCTAACAAGTTACTTAGTACAAGTTATCAAAAGGAAGGAATAGGGACACTTGGGTGGCTCAGTCGTTTAGAGCCTGCGTTCGGCCCAGGGCATGATCCTGGAGTCCCGGGACCGAGTCCCATGTCGGGCTCCCTGCACGGAGCCTGCTTCTCCCTCTGCCTATGTCTCTGTCTGTGTGTCTCTCATGAATAAATAAATAAAATCTTTTAAAAAGAAAAAAACAAAAGCAAGGAATATCTCATTGCAATTTATTTTCTCTACAGTCTTCTCCCCTTATCCTTTTTTCTTCCTGCTACCTTATTTGGGGTTTAGTCTGATTTTTTTTTCTTTGCATAGTTTAAGGTAGAAACTTAGATAATCTATTTTAACCTCTCTCTTTTAAATATAATCATATAAAGTTATAAATTTCCCAAGTGTTATGTTAGCTACACTCTAAAATGTTTGATAGGGGGGATGACTGGGTGGCTCAGCAGTTGAGCATCTGCCTTTATCCCAGGGTGTGATCCTGGAGTTCCCGGATAGAGTCTCATATCGGGCTCGCTGCAGGGAGCCTGCCTCTCCCTCTGCCTGTGTCTCTGCCTTGGTCTCTCATGAATGAATAAATAAAATCTTTAAAAAATAAAAATAAAATAAAATGTTTGATAGGGCATATTTTTATATCATTTAGTTTGGAATTCTGAATTTCCATAAATTTCCTCCCTTTAAGTTATTTAGAAGTATACTGCTTAATTTCCAGATATATGGGCTTTTCTAGGTAACTTATTGTTAATTGTTTTCCACGTTCTGATGTGGTCACGGAATATACTCTAGGAAATTTCAATCTTTTGATTAGGGAGCATCTTACAGCCCTGCATCTGGTATGCCCTCGTGAAAAGTTCCCTGTGCACCTGAAAGAATTTATATATTCTGTAGCCACTGGGTAAAGTGTGCTATAAATGTCAACCAGCTGAAGGGGATTAAAGTGACATTCAGATCTTCTAGATCTGTGCTATTCACTGATATAAGCCACCATGTGCTACTGAGTACCTAAAATGTGGCCTGTTGCTTAATAAGGATCTGGTAAGGAAAATTCTATGACTAACATCATGCAATTGACTTTTAAACAACTAACAGTAGCTCACTGTTAAAAAAAAAAAAAAAACACACCAAAAACCGATAATGCCATATGCTATAGTAACATAGTATGGAGTCCAAGATTAGGCTTTTGGCTGTCTCTCAAATTCCTAGCCTAAATGAAAACAAGAGAGTACTAATAGCCCCAGAAATCTCTTCCTTAAAATCGTCCAGACTAATAGGAGTCTCTCTAAAATATCATTTCTAAAATCCCATGTTTGAAACACATCCAAAGATACCTACTTCAAAATGGTAGGATGAATGGATAAGGAAGATGTAGTAAATACACATGATGGAATATTACCCAGGAAAGAAGAATGAGACTTTGGCATTTGGGGCAACATGGATAGACCCAGAGAGTATTATGCTAAGTGAAGTCAGTCAGAGAAAGACAATATACCATATGTTTCAGTTATATGTAGAATCTAAAAAACAAAACAAACAAGAAAATATATGAATACAGATAATTGGCAGTTGCCACAGGGCAAGTGGGGGAGGGGAGCGCAAAACAGATAAAAGAGATTTATTTATTTAAAGATTTTATTTATTTATTCATAAAGACAGAGAGAGAGAGGCAGAGACACAGGCAGAGGGAGAAGCAGGCTTCACGCAGAGAGCCCGACGTGGGACTCGATCCAGGGTCTCCAGGATCACGCCCTGGGCTGCAGGCGGCGCCAAACCGCTGCGCCACAGGGGCTACCTGGCCCCCCCCCCCACCCGGGATAAAAGAGATTTAGAGGGAAACTTCCAGTTATGAAGTAAATAAGTCAGAGATGAAAAGTAGCATAGGGAATATAGTTAATAATATTGTAATAACATTGTATGGTGTATGTGACAGATACTGACTACACTTACTGTGGTGAGTCCTGAATAAAGTATAGATGTGTTGAATTGATATGTTGTACAGTACACCCTAAATTAACATTGTAAATTAATTATACCTCAATTTTAAAAAGAGAAAAAAAATGGGAAGGATATTCTAATTGTGACCCCTTAATAGGCAGTCACTGAAAATATATAATGTTAAACAAACAAGCAAATCAAGTAATATACTTGTGTGACTAAATTGAAATTAGATTAAAAATTCAGTTCCTCAGCTGTACTAACCACACTTCGGTAGCCATATAAGGCTGGTATCTTACTGGACAGTGGAGATACACAGTATCACTGCAAAAAGTTATACCAAGTAGCACTGCAATGGACAGTAAGGTAGTAACTGCATGAAACAGTATAACAACACTCAGAAACCAATATGGAATTTAAACAAAATTCATAGATTCATCAATTAGTTTATCAGGCATTTACTCTGTGCAACTTACAGCAAAGCATCTTCCTGAATATTAAGAAATCTAATTACATATTCTGCAGCTATGTATTCTTTGATATATTGTTATATGCTTCCATTTCCATGTATCAGAAATGAGAAACTAATGTGGTATTTATTTCTCTACTTCACTGAGGCAATATGGTGATTCATGTACTGATAACCTGAAGGAGATGAACTCAGGACTCATCAAACCAGGCAAACAAAGGCTTGTTTGAAGGATAAAATGAAGGGTAAAATCTTGCTCTTAGAGCTTATAAAAGTTGTCCTTTTAGATCTATCGTAGAAATGCCACTTTGCACTAAAACAAATTGGGATGACAAACAACCCTGTCCAGCTTTATATTGAGCTGGTTCTCTTGGGCTTCATTAAAAACAAACTTAAAGTGTAAATATACAGTTGCCAGCAGGAATAATAAACAAAAGGTAACAATTCCTACTGTATCAAACACTTTGTGAGTAATGTTATTCTTCAGGAAGGAAATTAAAAATAGGTGGTGTTAAAACTAAACAGTGGATGAGATCAAGGAATGTGGCTGGGTCAGCATTTCCACTGCTCATCTGCACACTCATCCATTCTCTGCATTCTCCGTCCCACCACTCATGGGAAGATAAATTCATTCTACAATTCTGTACTTTCTCAATATGGTTTTTAAGAAATAGAAAGATTAATACAGTCATCATATTCAAACTAGATTTTTAAAAAAGATTTATTCATTTGAGAGAGAGCACAATGGGGCAGAGGGAGAAATAGCCTCCTCACTGAACAGGGAGGATCGATCAAAGTGGGGCTCGATCTTGGGACCCAGAAATCATGACCTGAGCCAAAGGCAGACATTTAACCAACTGAGCCACCCAGGTGCCCCCAAACTAATTTAAAGATACATATTTTACCAAAAAAAGTGGGGTTTATCACATAAAATATCGTGTTTTCCATGTCAGAACATACAAACTAACTTCATTCTTTAATAAACACACAGAATTTCAGTGAATAGACATCCTATATTTATATGAACTCCTACTGATGAGCATTGGCATCATTTCCAAATTTTCACTATAACCAGTAGTGTTTTAAGTGAATGCCCTAGTGCACAAATCCTTTTTTTTTTAAGATTATATTTATTTATTCATGAGACACACACAGAGAGAGAGAGAGAGAGAGAGAGAGAGGCAGAGACAGGCAGAGGGAGAAGGAGGCTCCATGCAGGGAGCCCGACGTGGGACTAGATCCCAGGTCTCCAGGATCAGGCCCTGGGCTGAAGGCGGTGCTAAACCGCTGAGCCACCCGGGCTGCCCCTAGTGCAAAAATCTTTAAAAGCTTTTAGGTTTCTCAGAAATTCCTACACAGAAAACTGCTGGGTCAAATATTTACACACAAAATTCTGGCAGTTATCCTTAAATTTCCTCAGAATCATTTTATGTAATTCACAACCTCACCAACAATGAGGAACAGTATCTGTTTTATCTATCTCCAAAAACTTTAATCTTGGCTAAACTGATCGGCCTCCCACCTCTTGCTCCCAGAGATCATAATCCATTTATTTGTCTTTCTTTATTTCACTATTAGAAATGTTGAACGCCTTTTCCTATCTTACTGGTTACTTACTTTTTTTTTTTTTTTTTAGATTTTATAAATTTACTCATGAGAGACACACAGAGAGGGAGAGACACAGGCAGAGGGAGAACCAGGCTCCTCACAGGGAGCCTGATGCAGGACTCAATCCCAGGGTCCTGGGATCACAACCTGAGCCAAAGGCAGAAGCTCAACCACTGAGCCACCCAGGTGCCCTGGCTACTTATTTCTTTTGTTGTTCTCCTGTGTCTTTTGTTCATTTTTCTATAGCTTTTTCAAAGATAATTAGGGAAATTAGTGATTT